AGCTCGAGGGTGAGGGTGTGCACTCCTCTTCAGAGGTGCAGAAGAGCAGGGGACGTGCGCGTGGATCTTCGGAACCACCTTCGCCCAGGGTGCCGGGGGCTGCCCCCTCTGCCTCCTCTGGCCGCCCCAGGGCTTGGCGCCCCCGGGGGCCCTCCGCCCCCCCCCTCCGTCGCGCTCGGAGGGCTTCGTCTGCCACGGGCGCGTGTCTGGTGGACAGAGGTGTCGGCCACGCCAGGCAGCTGCAGCGCAGTGTTCCTGTTTGAGGCGTTGGGCTGGCCCAGACTCGCGAGCCGCTCGTGGCCTCGGGGCTCAAGAGACGGGGGTCAATGCAAACGGGGGTCAGCCAGAGCGCCCGATCTTGCAGGGTCCTGCAGACCAGGATCGCATTGACCCAGATTTGGGTGCAGGATCTTGCAGGATCCTTCGCATTGACCCGGATTTTGGTGCAGGATCTTGCATGATTCTGCAAGGCTTGAGTGACCTGGGTCTGGATTGACCCGGGTCAGAAGATTCCCGATGGCCGCTCGGGTGGCCCTACATCTTTGGCTGACCCAGGTTTGCGAGGCCCGAGAAAGCATGTCATGTTTAGGAAACAGTTGATTGCCTGCGCCGAAGGCTACGGTCCGGGGCCTCAGGGGGCGCATGGCGGTCCGGCGGACTGTTTTGCAGGAGCGCGTGGCTACGCGGCTGCACTCGCTGGAAGAGGCGGTAGAGCCTTCTGAAAGGCCTTTGGGGCTGTGGGTGGAGCTCCTGATGAAGCGCGATCCGCGTGATTGGTGTGCCAAAGTGGGCGGGGTGGCGCTGTAGGGGTTACCCCCTCCAAGGCCGTCGGTGCAGCTCTTTATAAGCGCCACCCGTGCGAGTGTGTGCCGACATGGGTGGGCGAGCGCACTGCGGGCTTCCCCCAGTTGGCGCCGCAGGAGAAGCTCCGTATGGGGCGCCATCCGCTCGAGGTGTGTCCCGAGTTTGGCGATGGGGGGGGGTGCTGTGCAAGCTGCCTCGCTGGGGCGGGCCGCTGGTGGGGTTCCCTGCTGGGCACGCTCCGTGTCAAGGTTGTTCCGAAACGGGCGGCGGGGGGGAGGGGGGGGGTTGGAGGGAAGCGCCGTGTGTGCGGGGCTCGAACATATACACCACCACAACCTCTCTCGCCCTCCCTCGCCCCCTCCCTCTCCCACGGAAGAGGAGAGGAAAGGGAGGGAAGAGGAGGGAGGAGGAAGGAGGAGGAATGGAGGAGGAGGTGGTGGTGGTGGTGGTGGTGGTGGTGGTGGTGGTGTATATTCTTGGGGCCCGCAATGTGGACCCATGTTGGGGCTGGGCGTGGCGCTTCTTGTGGGGCTCGCTCTGTGTCAGGAGTGCGCCGAAGTGGGCGGGGGGGCGCCACGCGGGCCCGCCCACGGGGGCCGTCGGTGGAGCTCCCCGTGGGGCACGACCTGCGCGAGGGCTGCGCCGCAACGGGCTGGGGGGGGCGCCATATGGGCCTTCCTCGTGTGGTGTGGTCGCAGGCGGAGCCCCGTGAGGGGCACCAGTGCGGCGGGTGTGCGGATATGGGTAATGGGGGGAGTCACGTGGACTTTCCTGCTGGGGCCGTAGGTCAAGTTCCTAACCAGGCACGGTGGCGGCGCAGCATCGATGCCTTTGCGTATTCCAGTCTGCCCAATCAAACACTTAGTGCCCAAAGGTTTTGCAGACGACGCTGGCCAGTGGGCGTGTCGGCTCGATTCCCGCGTTGGACCCGTCCCTTTGGTTTCGGACAAGGCTTGGCTGGCTAGGTGTGTGTGTGTGTGTGTGTGGCATTCGATCTCTTGGAAGCGAACTGTTCGCGCACGTCCTTCCGTTCTGGGTGGCGCTTGTTTGTGCGCGATAAGTCCTGTAATTCGCGCGGTGGTTGGGGCTGGAGGGTTGCGGCTTGGGCCGTTCTTTTTTGTTTGTTATGTTCTTTTTGTTGTTTTCTTATTTTTGTTGTTTTTCTTCTGGGGTTATCTGGAGGACTCGTCTCTATGGACGGCCGGTTTGTTTTCTGGGTGCTTTGGCAACGTCAGCGTTTGTTGGTTTTTGGCGGCGACTCGGTTCAGAGCAAGCGCGGGGCCCGACTTGTCTTCATCGCAAATGGTCGGCCCCGCGCTCTGTCAGAACGAATGTACGGCCACCTTTCCATTTTCGTTGGCTGGCCACCCGTGTGAATTGCTCACGCCTGGGCGTACCTTTTCCAGTCTTGGGCGCTCTCGCCGACACGCTGGTCGGCGTCCAAGCTCTAAAATGACACTGGCCCAGGGTTTGCCCTGAGCCGGGTCCGAGGAGGCCCTAACTCCAGCCAGCGTTAAGTCGGGCATGCCCCTCTACATGAGGAGTATCCACGAACAGTCACAAACAATAGGCAGGGGACGACTTCTGGGCAATTTTGGAAGATTTTTGAATCTGTTAGACTATCTTTCATTTTTCCTCCAGAATCCGCCTGCAGGCGGACATGCCTGGCTTCAAGCCAGCGCACGAGGCGGCGACGGGGCGGCGGCTCGGCGGCGACCTGGGCGAGCATCTCCGGCAGGCCCCGCGAGGGCAGCCGAGGCGACGACGGGCGGCCACGCACCGGGGAGGAAGTTCCCGGAGGCGCCAGCCAGCTGCCCAGTGTAGCAAGCGGCCCCAGGGGCCCGCGGGGAGGCCCGCGGGGAGCCCTGGGGGGGGGTGGTCTGGCAGGCAGTCATCATGGGCGGGGCGGGGGTGGCGGGCGATCGCGCGCGGGGGCCGCACCCTTGGGCCCCGGGGGCCCGCGGGGAGGCCCCGGTGCCCGGGGGTAGAGAAGCCCTGGGGGGGGGCGCCGCAGGGCCGGAGGGTCGGAGGGCGGGGCGAGCGAGGCCACGGAAGGGGGGCCTGGGCACAGGGGCCAGGAGCGGCCCCAGGTTCGGGAGGTGCACCTTGAGCAGGGCCGAGGGTCGGAGGGCGCCCTCTTCTGCAGGGCCACCGAAAAAAAGGGACGTCAAGGTGGTCAAAGGCATCGCTGGTGAAGCCGACGAAGGTGTGCAAAGTCCAGCCGTTTGCTCATGTCCAGAGTTTTGGCTCGACGCGGGGTGTGGTGCATCGGTTTCAGCTTGACCGGACAGGTTGACCGCGCCCTTTGACGTCCGTTTGGGGTGTTCTGCAGACCTGACCCCCCAGCCCCACTCAAAGTATAACAAGCGATAAAACCCTTTCAGTGCAAGCGCTGTCTTGGGAATGTGGACGGAGTTTTCTGGGACTTCGGCCCCAGCACCAATCGTTCAGGGAGGGCTTTCCTTCACAGCTACAGGTAGAATGCCCCGCTGTTTTTCTCGCCCCACTACTGGCCCACACTTTCTCCGCTAATAGCCTCTCTAATGGCCCACTGATGTTGCATTAATGGCCCCACCATTCAGGCGGTCATCGGCGTGCCATGAGCCATGTCCGAAGACACCGTGAAGCGGGGCCCTTCACATGTCCAATCGTGACTTCAGAGGTCTGGGCTATTGGCCCCATGTCGAGAAGTACGGAAGGATCGCGCCGCACCGACGCAGCGCCGCTGGTGGCCCACGAGTAGCAGACATCGAGCGATCTGCGCCATCGGAAAACTGTGATCACTCGAGGTTCTCAGGTCTGCGCGGTGTCCGAGACCAGCGCCGACGTCATCGTTGCGTGAACCTGCTGTGGTTGCCCGTGTTCTCAAGAGGTCCGCGGTGTTGTGTTTACGGCGCCCCCGCTGATCTTATCGCCTTCATGCGGGTGCGAGTGGTGTCCTGCTATTGCACCTCAGACGCTCCGGCTCGCCGCCGTTCTTTCGACGCGAGCTTGCCGTCACATCCTTGCACTTGAAGCCCCGTCGACGGCGGTGACAGGCTGTCGACTTTGGGCTGCGACGGTCTTCACGGGGTGGGGATGTCTCCGCGGCTGGTTTTTCCAGGGCGGGTGGTTCTCCGAGAATTGCACCGTTCTCAGAAGAACCGAAAGTTGTATACAGTCGGACCGAGGCATAAGATCGAGGTCGGTTCGGGGAGGGTATCCTGATGCTCTTTGTGCTTGTTGGATGTTCTTGTGCATCTTGGTGAGGGTACCCTTGGATGTTCTTCTTGTTTTTGCCGACGGAGGGTCGCATGTTCTTGCGGGATGCTCTTCTGGCCTCGGTCCGACTGTGCACGCATCGGCTCTCGATGGACGGATGTCAACGCACGGGCTGAACCTCGTTGCTTTTTGCTCGCCCCTCGTCTCCTCGTGGAGAAACATGTGCATCAGGCTTCGAAGGTCTGCGCGGATGTCTTGACTTGGAGCCGGCTCCTGCTCTTCCCCGTGACCTTTGGTGGCGCCCGCAGCGCTGCCTTCGGCGCGTTCTGCGCGCCGGAGGATCACCAGGCCGAAACAGATCCCCCTCTCTATGAGTGGCATCGTCTCATCCCGATGCCGATCGTGGGGATTCCCGCAGCTTCTGATGGCGCATCCCTAAGATTCTCATCGCCTTCTGGCTTGCCGATCTTCGGGATAGGGATACTTTCGAGGCTGGTTGGAGAAGGGGCGTGTGAAGAGTGTCCAGCGCCGATCCAACGGATCCGCGCGAAGCTCCGCAAGTGTACGTTTGTGTAGTTTTTGGTTTTCTCTGCAACAAAGCCGTTGCACCCTTGAGTCATTTTCGGGAACCTCTTTTGACACTTGCTTGCAAAATTGTCTGGGATTTCACTATCTGGAAGGCAAGCCACGATTTCGTAAAGCCGCACGCCGACGAATTCGAAGGTATGTATATCTGGTGCGGAAGTTCCAGGGGGAGAAATTCAAGCAGATGTGTGGCACCGTGGCTCGGCTGGCTTATGTCCGTGAACATAACGTCGCTCCCCAAGAAGGCCGAGAGTTGTGTGTTAGTTCCGGAATGCACGCTTTCAAGTTGCCCCCCTGCATTCTATGTTGTGTGTCTTTCGCCTCGCCTTCATGACGGTGCTGACCTCAAGTGCAGTCATCAACAGGTCGGTGCGCTTCTGTCCCTGACTGAACGAGAGATGCGCCGACAGGGAAGGGACGACTTGGTGGCCAAGATCAAGGCCGACAAGGAGAAGGCTGCGAGCCGGTGTTTGAACGCCCCGCACATCTCGGGGCGCACGCAGCGTGGTTCAGCGATGACGGGGGTCCGCCAGTCCCCTCTGGTCCCTTTTGGCCTGTCCGGGCTTGGGATCCACGTGGAGCCGACCTTCATGGGCCCATTTCCCACCACCACCACCATAAGTTGGAGGGGGGAAGGCGGAGGAGGACGAGGAGGAGGAGGATGAGGAGGAGGAGGAGGAGCAGGATGAGGAGGAGGAGGAGGAGGAGGAGGTGGAGGAAGAGGGGGAGGAGGAGGAGGAGGAGGAGGAGGAGGGGGAGGGGGAGGACCCCATTCCCCCTTCAACTTATGGTGGTGGCGGTGGTGGTGGGCAACAGGCCGATCAGACCCCTCATCCCCTCCCTCCGCTCGCCGACCCAGTTTTGGGAGGAGCTTCTGCGCGGCCTGCCCAGGTTCGCGACACTGACCTGACGGACCCCAGTCAGCGCTCATCGGGGTCGGCCCGCTGCCGAACCTCCTCCTCTCCTCCCAGCGGCTCCTCCCGCGCGGGCTCTGCACGTGCTTGTGCGTGCTCTTCCGCGTCCCGTCCTCTCCCGCTCACCTCTCCCTGTCCACCCCGTTCTGACCCCCTTCTTGGTTTTTCTACCTCGAGTGGCTCTCGGGCGGTCCTCCGCAAGGGCCCCAGGCCGAACACTGCAAATTGCCGCAGCATCCCGCAGTTTGTGGTTTCAGGACGCGCGTGAGGTGTCGGCCTTCCCCCCTTCCATTTTGTTGGGGGGGATCCGGTTGTTCTGGTCGGCCCAGGGTCCGCCAGCCCAAACATGGATCCAAACATGGATACATGGATCCAGGGGGCGTGGACTTGCGGCGGGTCTTTCCGCCGCCGAGCGAGGCGGCACAGGCCGCATTTTGGGGAGGGCACCTCCCCCGATCCATGGATTTGGAGACCGCGCGCCAAAATCTTGCAGCAGCCCGTTGTTTCAGGACGCGCGAGGGGTGTCAGCCTTCCCCCCTTCCGAGGTCGGAGGAGAAGGAGGAGGGAGGAGGAGGAGGGAGGAGGAGGATGGAGGAGGAGGAGGAGGAGGGGAGGAGAAGGAGGAGGAGGAGGAGGAGGAGGAGGAGGGAGGGAGGGAGGGAGGGAGGGAGGAGGGAGGGAGGGAGGGAGGGAGGGGGGGAGGGAGGGAGGGAGGGAGGGAGGGAGGGAGGGAGGGAGGAGGAGGAGGAGGAGGAGGGAGGAGGAGGAGGAGGAGGAGGAGGAGGAGGAGGAGGAGGAGGAGGAGGAGGAGGAGGAGGAGGAGGAGGGAGGAGGGAGGAGGGAGGAGGAGGAGGGAGGAGGAGGAGGAGGATCAGGGAGGAGGAGGAGGAAGGAGGAGGAGGAGCTCAGGGTCTGCCAGCCCACCCATCGGGCGGCGGTGTGCGCGGCCCGCCTCGGCCGCCCCTCGCTCCGCCCCTTCTGTTCCTCCGGAGGGCGCTTCTCCCGTTCGAGACCCCCGTCTTGGCGCGGCGACGGCAGCAGCGACGATGGCGGCGGTGTGCAGGCAAGGGCACGAGGGAAGGGCTGTGATAGGTTAGGGCAGGAGAGGGCGGAGGGATAGGAGCAAGAAGATGTTGAGGCAGAGAAGAACAGACTAGCAGGGAGAAGGGAATCTCAACAATAAGGGACGTCCTCTTCCTATATGTGCAGTGTCATGAAGTTGCTGTGTACATCCGTCAAGCACGCACACGACGACGGCGGTGGCGGCGGGCGCATCGATTTGCGAAAATTGCCCGAGGAGGGATCCAAGGAAGGACCTACGGGTTCCGAGCCACTTTCATCATCGTGACGTTCTCACCGTAGTTAGTCGGTTGTCGGGTGGCTGTCGGCATAGTCCAGAGGGTGAACCTGTCACCAACAGAAAGGAGAGCTGACATTGGTCTCCGCTGGCACCCCTCTCCGTCTGCGTGGTTCGTCGTCCCAGTGCCGTCTTCTCCGTCCTTCTCCCTCGTGGGTCACGCTGTCAGCCCCTCTCCTACTACAGCGGGGTGAGCTGAGGCGAGGAAGTGACCAGTGGCCAGGGGAGCGGAAAGGAGGGTGTGGCTGAACGGGGAAAGATCGACCTCGGATCGCCCGTCCATTCGCCGCCGATCTGTGCACGGGCGGAAGAGGGAGGATGACCGAGCATCGATGCCCTTGGACGAGTTCCGCCCTCTTGGTCCCTGCCAGGGCACCCTCGTGGCCACGACAGGATCCGCCCCCAAAAATTCTCTGTCCGACATGTCAGAAAGCGACCCAGGACGGACGGGGGGTCGATCCCACCCTGCCCAGGAACGTACGAGGTCGTTGTCTGGGGTCTGTCGCCAGCCCATCGGCGATGAAGCCGACTCAGGGTGCCGAGCCTTGAAGCTGCCCTCCCCTGCGCCGTCTCACGAAGACCGCCGGAATCCGCAACAGACCGCCGGACACCGCCGAAGTCCGCCGGAAGACCGCCGAAAGGCCGTCGAAGACCGCCGCCGAAGACCGCCGCCGAAGACCGCCCGAAGATCGTCGAAGAGCGCCGAAGACCGCCCTGTCTGTCGCGCCGCGTGCTCTCTAAGTGCCTGGAGCCCCGGGGGGGTTGCTCTCGGAGAAGTCTCTCGTGCCCCTGCGGGGCGCCGTCTTTACAGGGGGGCCACGTGCCAAGAATCAAGGGAAGAAAAACCACCCAGACCCGATAATTGGCGTTTACTAAACGGCCCTGGGCGGTTACTAAACAGCCCTGCCCTGTTCGATTCCTTCTTTGGGTGCGTTTGCTGAACGGCCTCGCTTGTCGGGGTGGTTCTTATGGGGGTGTTTTTTTACCCTCTACAGAAACACCCTGCTTGCCTCCGGGGTGCCCTGGGTTTCTTGGGTTTCAATGGTTTGCGATGGAGAGCGCGACGCTCCCACGCCAGAAATCAGTGGACGTCCTGGGGTCTCAGGGCTGGGTTTCCTGTGGAAGGTTGCTTGTGGTCGGGCCCCTACTGTACTCGGTCCGCGCTGCAGCCGGCGTGTGCTCCCCCCCTCTGGGGGCGGCGGTGGACGGTGCCCGGTGGCCCGCGCGCCCCGCTCCTGCAGCGGGCGGTGCGGTGTGAGGGGTGGGTGGGTGGGAGGCGATGAATGTTAAGTCGGGCATGTCTCAGGCGATCGTAAGCACGGACCAAGGGGGCGTGGATTAGCGACGGGTCCGGTTTCCACAGGGAGTCGCGGATTTCCGCCGCCGAAGGAGGCGGCACTGGCCGCATTTTTGGGAGGGCACCTCCCCCGATCCATGCCTATGGCGACCGCGCGCCAAATCCATGGATCGCTAATCCATGTTTGCGCGCCCCAGGATGTCCCTCTAAAGGCGGAGTATCCAAGAGTGGTAAAAAGGAATAGGCAGGGGACGATCTTTCGTGCTCTTCTGTCCGTTCCTGAGTATTGTGGGACTACGTTTATTTCTCTTCCACAATCCGCCTGCAGGAGGACATGCCCGACCTAAGATAAATGGGGTGTGTGAATCAAGGTGTACCTCTGCTGGCCTCAAGGAGCCCGTCAAGGGGCCCAGAGCGGGCACGAGAGGTGCACGTCTCTTTCCTCCGCACTTGCCGCCCCCCCTGAGATCCTGGTCCTGCAACTTTCTCGAGCCCGGCTTCCCCGCTCGGTTTCGGGCCCCCATAGATCGATCCGGCTCGAAAAGCGATTCAGAAAGATGGGTTCTTGGGCGCTGGTAGTTGTTTCGTCCTGATTATTTCTGCTTGGGTACACCTACGTGTTCTTCTACACAGGCATATGCTATTGTTGGAATGAGCAGGATAACACATACACACATGTATACATATATATGTATGTATGCATGTATGCATGTATGCATGTATGCATGTATGCATGTATGCATGTATGCATGTATGCATGCATGCATGCATGTATGTATGTATGTATGTATGTATGTATGCATGTATGCATGTATGCATGTATGCATGTATGCATGTATGCATGTATGCATGCATGCATGCATGCATGTATGCATGTATGTATGTGTGTGTACGTATGTAGGTAGATAGCTAGGTATGTATGTATGTATGTATGTATGTATGCACGTATGCATGCATGCATGTATGTGTGTGTGTTTGTATGTGTGTATGTATGTATGTTTGTATGTATGTATGTACGTACGTACGTACGTAGGTATGTATGTATGTATGTATGCATGCATGCATGCATGCATGTATCTATGTATGTATGTATGTCTGTACGTATGTATGTACGTATATATGTATGTATGTATGTCTGTCTGTCTGTCTGTACGTATGTAGGTATGCATGTATGTATGTATGTATGTAGGTATGTATGTAGGTATGTATGTATGTATGTATGTATGTACGTACGTACGTACGTATGTATGTATGTATGTATGTCTGTACGTATGTATGTCTGTACGTATGCATGTATGTATGTACGTACGTACGTACGTATGTATGTACGTACGTATGTATGTCTGTACGTATGTATGTATGTATGTATGTATGTACGTATGTATGTATGTATGTATCTATGTATGTATGCACGTATGCATGTATGCATGTATGTGTGTGTTTGTATGTATGTATGTATGTATGTATGTTTGTATGTATGTATGTACGTACGTACGTACGTATGTATGTATGTATGTATGTACGTACGTACGTACGTATGTATGTATGTATGTATGTATGTATGTATGTATGTCTGTACGTATGTATGTATGTATGTGTGTACGTATGTATGTATGTTTGTACGTATGTATGTACGTACGTACGTACGTATGTATGTATGTATGTATGTATGTATGTATGTACGTATGTATGTATGTATGTATGTATGTATGTCTGTACGTATGTATGTATGTATGTATGTATGTATGTATGTATGTATGTATGTATGTATGTAGGTAGGTAGGTAGGTAGGTAGGTGGGTAGGTAGGGCGGTATGTATGTATGTATGTATGTATGTATGTATGTATGTATGTATGTATGTATGTATGTATGTATGTATGTATGTACGCATATATATATATATATATATATGAGATGTCGCAATTCTTTCACATCGTCGGATCTCAGGCCCTCCCTCCATGCACCCGTGCAGCAGCGCCCGACGCACCCCGCCGCTGCCCTTTGCGAGGCCGCGCAGCTGGCCGACGCCATCAGCTCGACGGAGAGGGCCTTCGCGCCTGGGCCCCGGCCGCTCGAGGGCCCGGCGCGGCCCGCAGACTTGACTCTCGACGCCGATCGCGGAGGAGGAGGAGGACGGGGAGGACGGGGAGGGGGAGGAGGGGGGAGGAGGGGGAGGAGGGGCAGGAGGGGAGAGGGGAGGAGGGGGAGGGGGAGGGGGGGGGGGGAGGGGGGAGGGGGAGGGGGAAGGAGGGGGAGGGGGAGGGGGAGGGGGAGGGGGACCAGTGGAAGCCCAAGAGTCATCAACGATGTTAGAATAAACCCTGCCTCCAGGCTCTCTCTTCACAGGCCTTCATTTTCACTGAGGGAACTGCCTCGTTGGAAGACAACGGTTTGAAGACCCTGAAGCATGCCAAACATTGTTCTCGGGATTCTAACACCACGGATCAATCTGACTGTTGTGCTGGATGATCTTGAAATCGTGGCAGAACCCCATCCCTGGGACTTCGAAGCCGCGAATCAGCGTAATTGTTGCGCCTTCATAATCCAGAATCTGTTCAAACAACCATATCTTGTTTGATGTGCGCGGCGCAAAGGCGAGAGCCAACATTTGAACAGGAACCGCCCTCAACCAGTGAAACTCTTGTAATTTTAAGAACGAATGTGCGCCGCGCTATGGCGAGAACCACATGTTGAAAACGACCCGCCCTCACTGCGTGAAACTTGAGCGATCGTTTAGAACGAGTTTGCGCGGCGCTAAGGCGAGAGCCACATTTACACGACCCGCCCTCACCCCGTGAAGCTCTTGCAAATGATTAATGCGAATGTGCGCGGCGCTAAGGCGAGAGCCACATTTTGAAAACCACCCGCCCTCAATCCGTGAAGCTCTTGTAAATGCTTAATGCGCGGCGCTAAGGCGAGAGCCACATTTTGAAAACGACCCGCCCTCCATCTTGAAGCTATTGCCAATGTTCAAGCTTCAGGGTCATAAGTGGTGAGGAAGTCTCAGGCGAAACGCATGTCCCGCCCTGAAAAACTGGCCTCGGGGTGCGACAGGGAGAAGTTATTTATAAGGAAGAGGAAGGAGGAGGAGGAGGAGGAGGAGGAGGAGGAGGAGGAGGAGGAGGAGGAGGAGGAGGAGGAGGAGGAGGAGGACAGGGAGGAGGGGGGGGGGAACGAGGAGGAGGAGGAGGAGGAGGAGGAGGAGGAGGAGGGCTACGACCGACGTTCCTTTCAGCCATCTGGAGTCGAGAATCGGGAGGAGGAGGAGGATGCTCATGCGGGGATCATGCCGATTGGGCGTCCCACCGCTGTGGAGGGACGAAGTCTTCTAAGGGACGTCGTCACCACCCTCAAGGAGGGCAAGCGGCTGGCGATGCTCGGCGGCCAGGGCGCCGCGGGCCTGAAGCAGGAGCGCCGCTGGCCTCGACGGCCCCGCGCGAGCGGGGAGGCCCGCGCGGGCCGACCACAGGCGAGGGCTTCGGGCCTTCCGCGGCCAACAGATGCCCTGGGGAGGCCCCTCGGGGCCGCCCGGGATCCGATTCGATGCCAGTCGATTCGGCGGCCAGGGCCGGGGATCGGATTCGATTCTCACCGAGCGCGTTCCCCTACTCGCCAAGTGCCTACTCGCAAGCGTCCAACAAGCAAATGTTGTTCGATGCAATGGAGCCCTTCTGCCTCGACGCAGTGGATCCAGGCCATTTGCGACTAGCTACTTTGCGAGGAGCTACTTTGCGAGTAGCTACTTTGCAGGTAGTGGATCAGCGGGGGACCAGCGGGAGCCAGGCGCGGTGATCCGAATGTCCGATGTGGGGCGGCTCGCTTGCGATCCGATCCGATTCTGATCTGAAACCAAATTCTCCGCGATTCGATGCAGCTCGGGCCAGCCCTGCCGGCGCCATGTTCTGTGGAATCCCGGCGCTCCTCGGCTACGGCCCTCTTATTTATCGGGCCTCGGGGTCTGAGCGGACGCAGCTTTGCATCACCACTGGCCCTGGCCAAGCCTGTCCCAGACCCCCGATCGGCCCGACGCCGTGTTTTTTCACAGCGTCGACCCAGCGGTCTGGACCCCTTCCCCAGGACGTTGTTTGTTTTTTCATTCTGAGTCGTTTTTTGACGGTCCTGGGGCCCGGCGAGGGCCCCTGGAGGCCGAAAACAGCAGCAGACCTCCCGTCGCGATTTTGTTCGCAACGCGAGGGGGCCTGGTCTGGGATCTGGGTCCTGAATGATGGGCTTGGCCAAAGTCGGAGGGCCGTCAGGCAGCGGCCTGGGGCTGGGCAAACAAGTTACCGTTTTCGTACTCATTGTTTTGCCGATCGGCGCCGGTCCTCGCACCTCCGCCTGCCCGCCCGATCTCGGCTGTTTTTGGCGCCCGTCTCGAGCAGGTGGAGCTTCCCCTACAGGTCGCACTGCTGCAAACAGTCGCATGAAGCAGCGGCCCGGAGCCAGACACCCCCCTTTCCCCCCGCTTCCGCCCAATGTCGGGCATGTCCCTCTACAGGATGAATGTTCAAAAATAGTCAGAAAATGGTCTGGGGACGAATGTTCGACTATTTTTTTAATACTTTTGCGCAATGTTGGCATATTTTTATTTTCCCTCCGGAATCCGCCTGTAGGGGGACATGCCCCCCCCTTCCGCCCAATGTCGAAACGCCGAGTGAGAAGACTTTCGCCAGCCGGCCCTGGGGGGCCTTCGGCGCCCGCGGGGGCGGCGCGCAGGCTGGGCGCGCCCCCCTCGCGGCGCTCCGCGGCCGTGGGCCGCAGAGAGCGCCGCCCCGCTCTGCATGGGGCGGCGGCGGCGCGCGGGCGGCGGGGAGAGCGCAGCAGCGCGCCGCCGCACCCGCGGGGGGCCCGCCGCGCGAGAGGCCTGTGGTCTGGGCCCGACCTCGGGAGGGGGGGGGGGGGGGGCGGGGGCGGTGGGGGGGATGAGGGGGGGATGAGGGGTTCGGAGGGAGAGGAGTTCGCACAGTTGGATGTCGAGCATGGCAATGGTCGCGGGTGCGCGATGCATCGTAGAGCGCGGCATGGCGCTGCGCAGAAGAGCTCAGCAGAGCGTGGAATGTCGCAGCATGGCGTGTCCTTGCGTAGTGAAGCATTGCATCACAAAGCATTGCAACGCAAAGCATGGCATCGCACAGCGGCGCAAAACAGAACACCGCACAGCATGTCATGGCAGGGCACCTGGTTCCTTGGAGGGTGATAATTGGATAGTCTTAAGGGTCGGGGCCGGTCTGGAGTCGCGGCTCCATGCTTAGCTTCCTGGGCTCCGCGACAAGCTCTCCACACGGCGGGGCTGATGGAGAGCACCCGCTGGCTCTGCTTGCAACATGGTCTTCTGAAAGCAGAAACGGGGCTCCCGCTTGATACCTCCTGCAACCGCCACCGCCTCGAAGTAGGGGGGGTGACCTTCTGCGGCCCCAAAACTCCATGAATCGGCACCAGATTTGTAAGTTCTTGCGATGTTTTTCTCTGGTGTAATTTCCTAGATTTAGTTTCAATCGGTAGGCTCCCGGGCTCTCGACTCCTTTCCCGTGACTGTGTTTTGTTCTCTGGGCCGTTTTCTGAAAATGTCGCCACAGGGCCGGGCAGCGGTCGCAGAGGCTGCCGTATGCGAGACACATTCGTTGTTGTTTTACTTTTTGGTTGTTCGCGTGGTGTGTGTGTGTGTGTGTGTGTGTGTGTGTGTGTGTGTGTGTGTGTGCGCGTTTGTTGTAGCCATTCCTGCACATACGAAACAGTACATCCGCCTCGATGTCCAGAGATGTTTTGGGGCTGAGGGCCGCCGCGCGCCCGCCAGACCACCCAGGGCCTGCAGCGCATGGAACTGGAGCACGCCCGAGGCTCCCGCCCCGCGGCCGCTTCGAATCCAGCGGCTTGCTGTGTCATCGAATTGCAGAGTTCCAGCGCGCTGCTCTCGCTCAGGAGATGGAGCAGATGCCGATGCCGCCTGCATTCCGTTGTTTTCGCCCTTTTGGGCTCCTGGGTTGCCCTTTTCGCCACGGCCGGATGCGCATCGAGATCTTCTTCAGAACGCTTCCCAGAAGAGGTCTGAGGAGTTGCGGCATCGGTGTGTGTTTTGTTCCCGATGGTATTCATATGGCAGAGTTCCAAAGCGTCGCTCTTACTTTGAGTTCGTCAGTAATTCTCCCATCACGTAATCGCGGACACGATGAGTAATATTATTTTCGTGCCGCATGCGGATGACACTATTCTGAACGAGGTGCTCATCGCAGCAACTCCAACGGCAGAACTTTCTCAGGTCATGGGCGGGGCTTGGGCCCCGACACTTGCGCCTCATATCGAATGGCCGTCGGCCCATCCCGCCACCGTGCCTGGGTTGTGGGCTGTGGGCCTCTAGAGAGTGTTCGTCGGGATGCCGCGGGAGGCCTTTCGGTGGTCTCGTGGAGGCAGGTTTGAGGCCCCCTTTGCTGCCTCCTTGGGGCATCTTGGGGCCTCTCTTGGGCCTCCTGGGCTCCTTGGGGCCTCCTTGGGGCCTCCTTGGGGCCTCGTTGGGGCCTCCTCGGGGTCTCCGTGGGGCCTCCTTGGGCCTCTCTTGGGGCCTCTTGGGGCGGAAGGCTCGGATTTTCGGTTCGCGCTCCCCCTTTCGGGCCTTTCTCGGGGCTGCCTCAGGGCCCTCTATAAGGCTGTCGTGGGCGCCTCCCTTGGCCGCCTTGGAGCCCTCCTGTGCCCGTCGTGGGTCCCTCTTGGGGGCCTCTCGGGCCGTCTTGGAGCGTTCGAAGCCCGACAAGCGGAGAACGCCAAACACATTGAAACACCTACGGGACAATACCGATTTGGGCTTCTCGGGCCCCCCTTGTGAAGGCTCTTGGGGCTCTCTTCGGCGTATCTAATGCTTCTTGGGCCATCTTGTAGCCACCTTGATCGTCTTGGACCGTCCGTGTAGCGATTGGGGACTCTTGGACCGTCTCGTCCGGGCGAGCTCGTGGGGGTCTCTTGGCCCGTCTTGTGGTCCTCTTGGTCTCCAAGAAATTATGCGGGAACGCTCGCAACGCCCCAGCAATTCTGGCAAGTTGGGGTTCGGGCCCTTCAACGGATCCTCAGGATTGAGGAATGACTGGGGCTCAGGGATTGAGCAAGTGACCTGGGAACACTCCACTTCGCGCCACAGAGGCACGGTGGCGGATCTAGCATCATCGCAAGAGCGTGGAAGGGCACTTCAGACAAGATAGTAAACTCCGAGTTGGATAATAGTCGCCTCCACCTTGGATCTGCTAGGGTGGGCTGGCTGTCGGAACGGGTGAAGGGAGCTGGAGGAGGAGGAGAAGGAGGAGGAGGAGGAGGAGGAGGAGGGGGAGGGGGAGGGGGGGGGAGGTGGAAGGGGGGGAGGGGGAGGATGGAGCCCCAGGCGGAGGCGGAGACCGCGTTCTGATGCTCGGGGGGGGCCACGAGGGGGCTGATGGCTGGGGCGTGTTGGATATCATGACCAGGGTCATGATACAGTCAACCCGCACAGTCAGGATGGGCAACTTTCCCAAGGGTGCCCTTGCACCCTTGCCCTTTCGGCCATCGTTGGCGGCCAACATGGACCTCCAAGGCCCTTTCATCCTTTCCGCGCACCCTCATGATACGGGTTGTCTATGTCTCCCCACGTCTCATGGCCCTCTCTTCTTCTTCTTCTTCTTCTTCTTCTTATTTTTATTTTTATTATTATTATTATTATTATTATTATTATTATGTTTCGTATTCTTCTTCTTTCCATGCGTCCCTGGGCCCCCTCTCGTCCGCGCAGATGCCTTGTGCTGTGCTTTGCGCTCCCCCCCGGGGACGCCCCCCTCTTGGACGCCCCCAGAATGTCGGGAAGATCGCAAGGGCGGTTCGGGGGCGGTTCGCAGTTTCGAGCATTGAAGGTGGAGGAGGAGGAGGAGGAGGAGGAGGAGGAGGAGGAGGAGGAGGAGCGGCTGAATGGGCAGGGTGTGCCTCCGACTGCGTTGCTCGATCATCGTCAAGTTTCCAGTTCGTCGCAGGTGCGCTCTCGCTCCTAGCCATTGTGGAGCGGACGCGTGCGAGCCCTTGCCCCTCGGCAGCGCGCACTCCAGGGCGGGGCGCCATGGCCCGCGTGGTGCGCATCGTGCTGCTGCAGACCTTTGCCGCGCTGCCCGGCTCGGGCACCGCCACTGGCACGGCCACGAGCGCCACCGCCACTACCACCAGCTCGGAAGCCGGCAGCCATGCACAGCCGCCAGCCCCCCTGCCAGGCCCGCCGTGGGCCCCGGGCACGGTTCTGGGCCGCGCAGGCTGGGGCTCTGAGATAGTTGAGCGCCGCCCCTCCTGCCGGCACGATCGAAGTGGGTATACGGAGAGAGCAGGCACGGAGACAGACCGGGGCCCCTGCCCACTGGAGCGGGCATCGCTGTCGGTGTCGGTGCGGGCGTTGTCCATGCGAGACAGGAGGCCGCCCGCCCCACAGCGGCCGGCGTCGGTTTGGGACGACGTGTGCTGCTGGGCCTCGTGCCTATGTCTTCCGTACTCTGGGTTTCTGACTAAGCGTGGGGGAGTGTGTACCCCGCCGACGGGGGTCAACCCCGCCTCGTCGTCGCGCCGCGACGGGGGTCGGAGCGCCTTCGGCGAGCGGTGACCACCCGCGGCGGGGCTCGCTGTGGGGCTGTCGGTGGGGGTGACGCCCCCCCGACGCTTACTAAGAAACTCGGAGTACACATTTCGGGCGTCCATGTCCTGCCGCTGCACCCTCGCGCGCGGATGTCCACCCGCCGAGCTGCGTCACCTGGACTGCTGCTCGCACTGCGCAGCAGACTGGGGCCGCGGGGGCGGCGTGCTGGGCCCTCGCCGGCCATCGTCCCTCGGCTGCTGACCCTTGAGGGCGCAGGACGGGCCTGGCCAGGACTCGTCTTAGGCCCTCGAGGCTGCTGATTTTTCTCGAAGCTGCGCCCCAGGAAGTCCCGAGCCCTTCCCAGGGAACGCTTATGTTATGCCTTGGGTAGTTTTCTGCTGCACCAGGACTAGAGAAAGTGCCCCCTGAGGGTGAATTTGAGGAAGAAGACACGGGGGTAGGAACAAAGCACAACGCCAACACAGCGCCAGAGGTCTCGGTGTGTTCGGTTACCGGCTTTCGACACCACTACCACTACCACTACCACTACCATCACCACCACCGCGCTCAACGCAGCAGGCTTGTCCGGGGTCACGGAGAACAGGGAGGGGGATTTGGACGCGTTCCTGTGGGCGCTGGGAGTCAATGGGCTGGCTGTCCTGGCTCTCGCCATCGTCTTCTCCATGCTGCGACTGAGGTTCCCTTGGGTCTACTCGAGCAACGCGCGGGGAGGAGAGCTGCCAGAGGCTGGCTCCTTCTTGGGGTGGACCAGGGCGAGTTTGACGATGACCACGCAGGACAGGGTGAAGCACGTCGGTCTGGACCACGCTCTGTTGATCGAATTCTGCATGGTGTGCATGAGAATCTTGCTCATGATCGGGTCGCCCTTGGTGCTCGTCCTGATGCCGATAAACGTGCTCCTTGGCAGCGGCGACGCGGACAAACTCAGCAGGGTGGAGATGGGGAATTTGGCCGATGCTGGGAGGGACGATTACCATGCATGGGTGTACTATCTGTACGCAGCTGCGGTTTGGGCCGTCTGCCTGGCGACGCACCGGGAGGTGTACCGGGCCCAGGCCAGGTTCCTGCAGCTGAGGTTCGCGTGGCTGAAGCACCTCCCCTTCCCACGTGCCGGCACGCTGCTGGTGCAGGCCATACCGCCCGCGTTCAGGTCGGACGCGCGGCTGCACGACTTCTTCTCCTCCAAGTTCGAGCCGGGCTCGGTGGTCGAGGCGCACGTCATCAGGCACGCGTCGCACCTGGCAGCGCTGTTCTCCCACCGTGAGGCTTAGATTAAGTCGGGCTTGTCCCTCTACAGGGGGAATATTCAAAAATAGTTAAAAAATAGTCAGGGGACTATTTTCTGAGTATTTTTTAAACATTTTGGAATATTTGTTTGAGTATTTTCAATTTTTCGTCGAAAATCCCCTTGTATGGGGGACACGCCCGACTTGAGGCTTCGAGGCGCAAGCTGCGCACGGCGGAGCTGCAGCTCGCCAAGACGGGCACGCGGCCCATGGCGCGGCCGCAGCTGCTGCCCGGGGACGCCGGCCGGAACTGGGCGGCCAGCGGCCCGTGGCGGCAGGTCGATGCGATCGACCACTACACCGAGGACATCGGCCTGCTGGACGCCAAGATCGAGGCGGAGCGGTTGCGTGTCGAGGCGGAGGCCGCCGCCGTCGGGGGCGTCAACGGGCACTGCGGCTTCGTCACGTTCTGCAAGCGGACGGACGCGACGATGGCCCTCGGCTGCCGCTTCAGCGCCAACAAGCACGAGTGGAAGGTGTCAATGCCCCCGGAGCCCTCCGACATGCTTTGGGATGGCTTGAAGACGAAGCATCCAGAGGCAAATGTTATCAAGATGGCCGCGGGTTACGCGTGCATCGCCGGCCTGTTTATCGGCTTCACGCCGATCTGCGTGACCATCACGAACATTGCCAAGGCGGTGCATGCAGGACCCTTGCAGCCAGTCTGGGCTGCCTTCGCGCCCACGCTGGGGCTGTTGCTGTTCACGAGTCTTTTGCCATCCGTTTTGTTCGTCATATTCCGGCACTTCTTCGTTTTGAAGGCAGACGCGTGGTCTCAGCACCGAGTGCAGATTTGGTATTTTTGGTTCCAAGTGGTGTACGTCATCCTCGTGACGGCCATCGGCCAGTCGCTCTTCCAGAGCGCGAAGGACCTCTCGGACGACCCGTCAAGCATATTTGACCTCTTGGCTCAGACACTCCCGAAGGCGTCGCATTTCTACATGAACTATCTCGTCCTGCAGTGCACCGAGTGCACCGTCCACATGCTGCGTGCCGTGAACCTGGTGAAGTTCCTGGCCTTCCGGCTGCTGAGGCCCGAGGAGGAGGCGCACGAGCTCGCCGAGCCGGAGGACCAGGACTACCACGGCGTGGGCGCCCGCAGCACGAGGTTCACCACGGTCATGCTGATCGGGATCATATCCGACGAGCTGCGCCCTTCTTGTCGGAGGGCACCACCTATAATTAAGTCGGGCCTGTCCCTCTACAGGAGGAAAATTCAAAAATAGTGAAGAAACAGTCTGGGAACGATTTTTCGATTATTTGTTGACCATTTTTGAGTATCGTTTGACATTTTTTCCCGCCCAAGCTCCGCCTGTAGGGGGACATGCCCGACCTAACTCAACACCGACCATGGCCAGGTCGACTCTGGGCCCAGGATTCGTGCACACGCCCTCCTGCCCAAGCCCGGAGAGGGCGTATGATTACACCGCTCTTGGGCCCAGGTCAAGGGAGGAAAAAACACCCAGACCGGACAATTAGCGTTTACTAAATGGCCCTGGGCGTTTACTAAACAGCCCTGCCTTGTTCGAGTCCTTTGGGCGCCTTTACTAAGCGACTTCGCGTGTCGGGGCGGTTATTATGGGGGTGTTTTTTTTGACCTCTGCCAGGGGGGACCTGGTCAGGATCCGCGCAGGTGCACAGTTGGTACCCTCCTGCTTTGCCGCCAGACCCCCAGGCGGAGCCATTCCGTGGATTCCCCTCGCCCTCGAGCTTGCGGATTGCGTCCGGACCGCCGAGACAGTCTGGGTGTTGCGACCGCCCGTCGCCCCCCCCCCCTCTTTTTCCCCCTCCCCCTCCTCGCCTTTCCCCTCTCCCTTCCCCTCCGCCTCGATGCCTCGTCGTCGCCCTCCTCCTCTTCCGCTTCCGCTTCCATACCCTCCTCTTCATTATCCTCTTCCTTGTCTTCTTCCTCCTCATGTTCCTTCGTTTCTTACTTCTCTTCCTCCTCGTCCTGCTCCTCCTCCTCCCCCTCCTCCTCTCCCCCTCCTCCTTCTCCTCCTCCTCCTCCTCCTCCTCCTCCTCCTCCTCCTTCCCCTCCTCTTTTTCCTCGTCCTCCTCCTCATCCTCGTCCTCCTCCTCCTCCTCATCCTCCTCCTACTCTTCCTCTTGGAACCCACTTGACGCCTTTCTGGGGGTCACTGGTGGCCTCTTGGGGATTCCTGGGGCCCTTCTGGGTTGTCTTGGGTCCGTCTTGGGCCGTCTTGGGACCCTCTTGGGCTGTCTTTTGGGCCCTTCTTGGCCGTCTTGAGGGTCTTTGGGCACCCCCCTTGGGCCCTGCTGGGCAGTCTCTGAGCCATCCTGGAAGCATCTTGGGCTGTCTTGGGCGCCTGGCAGCCCGGAAGGCGAGCGCACGAACGTCTAAAACAAGTCCCAGTTGGAATCCAATATCCTTGCCTTCGGAATTCCCCTTGGGGTCCTCTTGAGGGCCTCTTGTGGCGGCTTGGAGGCCTCTGTGGCCGTCTTGAGGCCATCTTGGGACGTCTTGCGGGCGTCTTGGGCTCTGAAGCCCACTTCGCAGTCTCCTGGTGCCACCTTCGAAGTCTCTTGGGCCACCTTCGAAGTCTCCTGGTGCCACCTTCGCAGTCTCCTGGTGCCACCTTCGAAGTCTCTTGGACCAACTTGGCCGTTTGGTGGCGTCCCTATTGGAATTGTTGGGGGCTGGAGAGCGGCCAGAAGTCTGAGCCGGCGACCCTCCCGAACTGCTCTTCTTGACGTCGCGGGCCCCCGAGTGGACAGGAAATCGGAGGTCGATAGGCCTCCTACCCTGACACGTCGATTAGTGGATTGGCCGTTTTCGGTTCGCGAGAGGGCGCCGCGGCCGTCATTTTCCAGGCTTGCGCCCGCCAGGTTTGGGCCCGAGGTCAATTTCACTAAACCACGTTTTACTAAAGGAGGTTCTGTCCATCCCCGAAGAAAGTCAAGAGGCAATGAACACAAGACAGCACAGATAGCACAAGGCAGCAGTCCAGCAGACACCTTCACAGCCCCGCGCCCCCGAAGGGGGCCGGCGGATTCAGTACGATTTCGCCACTCGTGGCAGTGCTGACTTTCTTGACGTTTTCGTTGTACCGCTTGTGCTATGGCTACACGGTCGTCTTCGCGGAGACGAAGAAGCCCGATCTCGGGGGGGTGTTCTGGGTGTCGCAGTTGCAGCACGTGCAGATCGGGGTGATGATTTACTGCGTCCTCATGATCGGCATCCTGCGGCTCCGGGCGGGCAGCATCTACCCTGCGGCCATCGCCTCCGCCAGCCTCCTCTTCTCGGCCTGGTCGTGCCTCGACTTCCGCAGGACCTTTGAGTGGAAGCAGCTGCCCCTCGGCGAGATCGGCGACGCCGAGGCTCGGAGACGACAAAACGACATAAACATAAGCTTTTGGCGCTCCGCGCGGATTTCTTGGATCCGCGCTGGGTCCCCCGGCGGCGCCTCCTGGCGCCGCCTCTGGCGCGCTCCGCGCGCCAGGGAGGGGGGCCCGGCGCAGATCCAGGAACTCTGCGCGGAGCGCCAAAAGTTGATGCTGATGGCTATTGTTATGTCGGGCGTGTCCCCCTACAGGGGGTTTTTGACGAAAAAATAAGAATATCCCCAACATATTCCAAAAAGGTCAAAATATACTCAAAAACTAGTCCCCAGACTATTTTTGGAGTATTTTTTTATTATTTTGGGTTTTTTGTGTAAAAACTCCCCCTGTAGGGGGACAAGCCCGACTGAAGGCTATTGTTCTTCTTCCAGAGGCCGCGCCGTGCACCGCCGAGGGCGCCCGCGGCGCCTACGTGCAGCCCGAGCTGCGCGGCGCGCCCGGCCCGCCCGGGGCCGCCGGCCCGCGCGGGCCGCCGCCGGCCGCGGCCCGCGCCCGCCGCCTCTCCGACCGAGGCGCTTCCTCCTCCTCCTCCTCCTCCTCCTCCTCCTCCTCCTCCTCCTCCTCCTTCCTCCTCCTCCTCCTCCTCCTCCTCCTCCTCGTCCTCCTCCTCCTCCTCCTCCCTCTCCTCCTCCTCCTCTTCCTCCTCCTTTTCCTCCTCCTCCTCCGACCGAGGCGCCCCAGGCCTCCTGGCCGCCGGGCGGGGCGGCCGCGGCGGCGGCGCCAGCGTCGGCTACGCGCAAGAGCGGCCCTTCGCCGGAGGGTCCCCGGCAGCTGCAGGGGAGCCCTATAGGGCTATAGGGCTCGCTTCGATGCCTCCGGTTCGATGCGATGCGGTTTCGATGGATTCCGATTCCGATTCGATTGGACCTCGGATTCCGACCTGAACCCCGACTTCTCCAATGAGGCCTAGTGGCCCGCCGACTTCCCGCTGATTCGACTTCTCCCGACTCGGCTGCCGATTCCACCGATCCGATTCATTTCGATCGCCGATCCGATTTATCGATTCGATTCTGGGCTCTCCTGCCCCTTGTTCGGGGCAAGGTAAGACTCGAGTACGCAGGAATTCGGGTTGGCGCCGACGCTCTTTGACGGGCGCGTCCTGAGTTTGGGCGGCTCGGTTGTCGTGGGGCTGTCCGCAGCGGGAGCTCGCGTCAAGTTCCAGAGTGGGCCTCGTCGTTCTCACGATGGCCCCGTCGGGCCCGCCCCGGTCCCCCGAACCCGAGTCTTGCGCCTCCCCGATGTGGTGCGGGCGCACCGGGCCCGCCACGCGCAGAGGGGGGCAATGCTCATCGGGGGGGAGGGGGGGCGGCCGGGGGCCCCCCGCTGCGCTGAGCGCGGTGCGACAGCAGCGCCCTGCGCGCTCGGGCCTGGGCCGCCCCGCGGCCCCGGGCAGTCGCGCGCCAGAGCGCCAGAGGTCATTCCTGTCGGGGGCCCCCGAGCGGTGCGGTGACCACACCGTGCGGTGAGTCGGTGGGGATCCGGGGCCACCGCACGGTTTTGGGACTCGAGCCCCTCTCCGAGGATGTCTCGGGCGACAGGGGCCTCCAGGGTCCCAAAACCGTGCGGTGACGGACCGCGCGGTGAGGTCTCTCGGGGGATTTCGAGGTCACCGCACGGTCTGCCACCGCACCGCTTGGGGACTCTAAGAGTCCCTCCTGCCCAGGGCCGCCCCTGCGCGTGGCCGACGTCGCCCGGGCGCGCAGCGCGCCCTCGGTGCTCCGGCTGGCGTGCTGCCGCGAGTAGCGCGGCGCACGGGGCGCGGGCTCTCCTTGTGGGCCGGCGCGCCGCGGCGCGCCTCGCCTGCGTCCTCGGGCCCCTCACCTGAGCTCGGCATCGCTCGGACGCGTGCAGCTCTCCCGGCGGGGGCCATCGAGGAGCTTTCTTCGGAGGAGGATAGGCCTCCTACCCTGACGCGTCGATGAAGGAATTGGCCGTTTTCGGTTCGCGAGAGGGCGTCGCGGCCGTCATTTTTGCGGGTCCAGGTCCGTCGGTTTCGGTCCCAGGCCGTTTTCACTAAGGGGAGGTTTTCGAAGTGGAGGTTGGTCCACCTCCGATTTCTGGGCCGTCTTGCGAACGACATACGCGCACGGAGCCGAAGAGTTGCACGGGGAATGGACGCCCGAGCGATGGCGAGTAAAGGGCCCCCAAGCCTGAGGCCGGCGCGCACGGAAGGGGGATGGCGCCAGGGGGCGGCTCTCCCGAGAAGGCGTGTGCGTGGGGGGGCTCTGCTCACGGAAGGCGGGTGGGGGGCTCTTGCAGAAGGGCCCAGCCCAGGGGCCTCTGAGAATCGCCGAGCGCGCTTTCGCTGCTCGCAGCGTGCCTCCTCGCAGGCGTCTGAACAAAGCACAGGGCCGCCTCGGTGTGATGGGTCGCAGGCCCCCCGTGGCAGATCCGGGCTCTCCGCGAGTACACGCCGGTCGTTGAAAGTCGGTATTTTGGGACTCCCAGATCCCAATCTACTTGAAGCGTCTTCCTACTTCAAGAATCGACATGCTGTTTCTGTGTTTTGTTATTCTCTGGGAGGACCTGGACCCAATCAACTTAATCCGCCTTCCTACTTCATGCTTTTACCTGCTTCTTCCGACCGACGTGTAGCCACCCTGCGAGCAGCGGAGCGCTTTTGTCCAGAGAATGCCTCTCAGGCGCGGGGAGGGCGCAATGAGGCGCCCCCCGCCCTCTTGCGGGCCTCCCGCCCTCTGAGGGAGTGCAGCTTCTGCGGTGCGGCCCCTCCTCGTGCGCGCCGCCAGTCCCCAATTTCCCCGCCCCTCCTCGCTGCAAGAGTTTAGTCGGGCATGTCCCTCTACGGGGAGAAAATTCAGACATAGTCCAGAACAGTCTGGGGACGACTTCTGGATTTCTTTGTTGGACTATTTGGGAATATTCTAAAGCCCGCCTGTAGTACATTACCTACCCCGCTTTCGCTTCCCGACAAAACCAAATCATACCACGCACCTCCTGGTCAAGCGACCTGATGCGGGCCGTAGCCTGGTATCGTTTGGTAACTTTTGGAAGCGAGGGTGGTCAAAAGCGAGGTAGGTTCGTTCGCCTTCTATGTAGGAGGACACGCCCGACCTACTGCAAGAGCCTTTTTTCTCCGCGGAGCGGCCCAGAGGCCCAGACGAGGCCCAGCGTGGCTCTCCTCGAAGGCCCCGGTCCTCTGTGAGGGGCGCCAGGGGCGGCAGGGGCTCCCCGGCACACGGCTGGGCCTGCGGCCCCTCCCGTCTGCAGAGCGTGTACAGCGTGACTCAGGAGGGGAAAAAACACACCGACACAATTCATCGTCGACTCCCAGGGAAATGTGGGAAAATAGGGGAAGTGGGGGGGAAGACAAACACCAAGAAAATATGGGAAAATATGGTGTGTGTGTGTGTGTGTGTGTTTGTGTGTGCGTGTGTGTATTTATTTGTGTGTCCCAGGGCCCCTTCAGTGACCTCGGCGCACGTGCGGCGGGCTGGCATGTCCCTCTACCGGAGGTGTACTCAAAACATACCCCTACAATGGTCTGGGACGATGTTTCGTTAGTTTTTTTTTTGTTGGGGGGATCATTTTCCAATTTTGGTTTTGTTAGTTCTTATCCTTACGCCACTGGTTCTGACACACCAGGTATGCTGAGTGGAGCTGCCATCCTCCTCGGACGCCCTCGGACGCGGTCTCCTCGGCTCCGTGTCCGAAAGGAACCCGCTGGCTCCAGCACCTCCAAGCGAACTCTTCGACGTCCTAGGTTGAGCTGTGTGGCGAGCGCAACCAGGGACTCGGCCGCCAGGGGAGGCCACGGGGGGCGTTCGGGGCAGCGGGGCTCGTGTTCGGGAGCCTTGTCTCGGTGCCGTGGCCTTTGTCTCGCAACTTCCCCCGAGTTGTGCCACCGGCGACCTGCCGCGCCTGTGAGAGAACCACAGCATGACACTGGTAATTTCAAGGTGGGCATGCTCTTCTACAGGAGGAATGTCAAGCAAATAGTCGGTGGACGATTTTTCTATATTTTTTGTGTGATGTTTTGGCCATATTGGGATTTCTTCGGAGGTTTGTTACTATTCTTTTTATTTTTCGTCCAAAGTCCGCCTGCAGGAGGACATGCCCGACCTCATGGTAATTACACGTTCGGAGGTCGGCGCAGCTTTCTCGGGTCGGCGCTGGACTTCCCTGCGGCGCGGGGCGCGCCAGGGGTGGTGCCGCCCAGGTGTACAGTTGAGTCGGGCATGTCCCTCTACAGGAGGGATATGCAAAAGTAGTACAACATAGTGTGTGGACGATTTTTTGAATATGTTTGATTTTTGGTTTAGGTTTTTTGATGAGTATTGTTGTTGTTTCGTCCAAACTCCGCCTGTAGGGGGACATGCCCGACCGAAGTGTACAGGTCTCGCGGGGGATGGGGTCCAGCGCCGACCCACGGGGTCCGCGCAAACCTCACAGCGTCTGTGCTGTTGCCGTGGTGGGGAGGGGACCGAGTGGGGGGAGGGCGCCAGTGACGTCACCACGTGTCCTGGCGCCGTCTGGGAGTGAGTCCTTGTGTAGCCGTCGCCAGGCGGCGCCTGCGCGGAGGGCAGCTTTACTCTGAGCGGGGGGTGGGGAGCTGGTAATGGTCGCAATCGCGAATGTGAGTTCGAAGAGGAGGAGGGGGAGGAGGAGGAGGAGGAGGAGGAGGAGGAGGAGGAGGAGGAGGAGGAGGAGGAGGAGGAGGAGGAGGGGAAGGAGGAGGAGGAGGAGGAGGAGGAGGAGAAGGAGGAGGAGGAGGAGGAGGAGGAGGAGGATCAGGAGGGGAAACAATGAATTGTCGGTTCCAATAACCATATGGGAAGTATGGGAAGTGCGGGGGGGGAGACGAAAATCCATACAATATGGAAAACTGTGGAGAATCCTTGGATTTGTGTATATTTATTGGTGTGTCTCTGGGCCCCTTTTGAGGAGGAGGGGGGGAGGGGGCTGGCTGCCCTGATGCCGCAAGCCTCTGTGGTGCTCGCTGTCGGGCCCGCCAGGTTCGCGGGCGGCAGACCCAGGAGGACAGGGTAGGGTGAAGTCGGGTCTGTCCCTCTACAGGGGGGATATTGAAAAATAGTTAAAAAAAAAGTATGGGGACAATTTTTGGGGCATTTGTTGACCATTTGGGGGTTTTTCTGGGGTATTCAAATTTTTCGTCCAAAATCCCCCTGCAGGGGCACAGGCCCGACCTAAGGGTAGGGGGGGGAGGAGGAGGACAAATGGGGGCACTGAGAGAACGCCTGCGGTCAAAACTGGAACATAAGGAACAGCTTGAGTTCGGGAGGGGCTCGATGTTCCTGAGGTTCCTCCGTTGCTCTTCCTCTCGCCCTCCTCGGGAACGGAGGCGCTTTTATGCTCAACAAGGGGCTTCGTCCTTTACTTAGTGTTCCTTCTTTCAGCGGTCCGACTTCACCCACACAAGCCGAGTCAGGAATTCTGCACCGGTTCCCTCGACATTGGCATTTCGCAGTGTAC